AATATTAAGAGGATTTGTCCTTCTCCAGGCAGCAACAGACACGGTGTGCTTTGGTGCTTTACGGAAAGAAAAAACTTTGCACTTCATTCCTCAAAATCTATAAAAGCATGGACTACAAATATCTTTGATCCATTTTTAATACTTTTGAGTCAGTACGATTCATTTGTAATAAACAACTAGACACAATAAAGATGGCTTGTGTGTTCATTGATAAGATTAATATAGGCTAATATAGATTGTTGAGGTCAGCTGTTTTGTAATTTCACAATTTATTCATTGAAATGTATGTTTCTGTGCTATATTTATATTTAGACTATGGGGCCGTTGAATGCTTGAATCTGATTGGCTGACGAACGTTCTGAGGTGCGCAATTATTTTCAGGGAAACGCACTGCGAAAGTAGTTCCAGGCAGCTCTCTTGACCGCATTACAGTTCCATATCACTTCGCATAGTTAACCGTAATAACTGAAATTAGCATACAATCACACGTGCTCGCACACGCACACTAGTCACGCAGTTTGCACAGAAAGGTGTTGTCAGCGCTGCCTTGACGATTTGATCAGTTAGCCTATGTAGTGTAGCAACTTAAAGGCTACACATGACATTTCTCACTAGCGAGGTAATAACAGCGCTGTTTAGAGACGCTGCTGCAGAACACTGTTGAGGGACGCACAGAGGTAGCCTAATTCACACAAGCTCTCTCTCTCTCTCTCTGTGTGTCTCTGTCTTTCTCGCTCTCTTTCTAATCAGTGTTGCCAACTAATTTTCAGGGGAAGTTGCTAAAGGAAGGGTGATTTGTTGCTAAAAGTTGCTAAATGATGACATTGCGTGATGACGTCATTACGTAACCACGCCGCAAAATTGCGTCAAATCTCAGCAAAAACATATATATATATTATATACGTTAATTTAGATTTGTTCGTAGCAATACAAATGCATAATATAATATTAAAATGTAAATGACTATTTTTAAATCCATTGAATTATCGAAAACGTACACGTTTTTGAACGATTACAATTTAAGTTGTATACTTTAAAGCAGTTTATTAGTAGTTAGTTAGTATGCTGCACTCTAAGAA